TTAAAAAAAAAAAAAAAAAAAAAAAAAAAAATTATGATGATGACTAATATCGTTATTGAGTAATTAAAATCCTTTCTTAAATAATAATTAAATATATATAATGTATTACATAAATATAAATATATTTATATATTTAATTTACCTCGATTTCATTATTCAATTTTCCTTACGTGACTATAGTAATTTAAAACATTCCTATTATAAATTATCCGTTATTTCCGTTAAATGTAAACTATTGTGAAGCAAAATCTCCTATAAGGACAGCACGGAATTTAAAAACCGTTTTAGCCGTGGTTTTTGTTTTTGTGATTTTTGCCCAAAAAATAAGCTAACACGTAATTTTTGCGTAATCTCGCCTAAGATATTTATAGATCGTAATAACAATGTTGTACCGCCATTTTCTTCAGTTGTTTCAATTTAGAATCAAAAAAATTCAAAAGAATTATTGAATTAAATCACGTGTTTAAATACACAATTGATGTACAACGGTATTGATATAAAAAAAAAGGTAAAATAATAAAAAAAAAGAAGGCTCAGAACAAAATAATTACTAATAATAGAATAGATTAATATTCTATAGGTGTAAAAGATTCTCCAATATTCACGTAAAGAAAAAGGAGAATGCATGAACGAAAAATGCATTATACTTCGCAGCAGGCATGGTCGGTATATTTATTCAAAAAAATAACAATAACAAAATTTGATTGATAAAATCCCATAAAAGGCTCTTGATATTTACTTGTTACGCCAAATGTCTCAACCACTTATACAAAACCTTATCTTTCTTTTCGTATTGATTTCCTATTTTATCCTAATCTATTACCTTATTTAGTTGATACTAGGTTGATGTTGATCATTATGGTTTTAGTAGGGAAATTTCAAGGGTTTCCGGAGAATTGGCGTAAATAAAATGTGAATGTGGCGGATTTCTGTCGTGATATGATGATTACGTTCTTAATTAAGGTTAGCCTATTAAATGTGTCATTGTTGTTTTAAAGGTAATAACTTGAAAGAGTTTTATTTTTAAATGAATTTTATTGGTGCTAAAATAATGAATAATATATTATTTAAAGATAAAAAGACAATACAGTATGGTAATAATATAACTCCTTTAACTCCTGAATTCAAAAGTTATTTACTTGAATAACTTTCTATCTAAAAAAAACCATAAATTTTTTTTTTTTTTTTTTTTTTTTTTTTTTACTTTAACAGAGAGAGAAGAAAGAAAAAAAAGGGTCATTTATTACTATATTGAAAGGGATTATTTATATGTTCCTACTTTTTGGTTAATTTGTCTTAAAAAAAAAAAAAAAAAAGTTTCTTGATTAGAAAATTCTATTTATCTTGGCATTTTACTTTAAAAGAATTTGGTGAAACAAGGTTATTGAAGAGCATGATGTGATAAAGGCACACATAATTTCAAGAATTTCAAGAATTTCATCCGGATTTTTATATCACAAAAATGTGATAATTTGATATTATCATTTATTCAACTCAGAGTAATGGGAAAAAAGACGGAAGGAATAAAAATAGTAATTTATTTTGCAAGTCAAATTTTTTTATTTGGTTCTACAAGTAAATTTCTATAAACATTTT